AAAACTTTTTGGAAAATTCGTTGTTCTTATTATTGGCCAAAGATGAAGTGTGATATTCTAAACTATGTAAAGTCTTGTAAAGTTTGTGCTGAACAGAAACCTGAGCAAAAAGCACCCGCGGGTCTTATGGGAACTCGTCCTAATATTCAACAACCTTGGCAGATGATAAGTTTAGATTTTATGGGTCCTTTTCCTCGATCATCACAGGGTCATGTCCATTGTTTGGTTGTCACTGATTTCTTTAGTAAATATGTTGTAATTTCTCCGATGAGAACTGCTACAGGTAAGTCTTTGTCGAAGTTTGTGGAAGAGGCTATTTTTCTTGTATATGGTGCTCCTCAATACCTTATTTGTGATAATGGTGGACCCATGAAAAGTAAAGAATTTCAGAACTTGTGTCGAAAGTATAAAACTTATATTTCATATACTGCTTCTTATTTGCCTCGTGCGGATCCGACCGAACGAGTCAACCGAGTTGTAAAGACTATGATTTCATCTTATGTACAGGGCAATCATCGAACCTGGGATGTGAATCTTGCTGCTATTGGTTGTGCTATTCGCACTGCTCGTCATGAAACAGTGGGTTTCAGTCCATATTTCATAAATTTTGGTAGGAAATATAAACTTTATGGTCAAGATTATCTGAATCAGGTACCAGAACACGATTTGGATCCTACTGATGATATTGAACAGCGTCAAAAAGGTTTCCGTAAAATGTATGATGATGTTTCTTCTCGTCTTCTGAAATCCCAAGACCGTAGTAAGAAAGTTTTTGATTCCCATAGGCGTATGGTTACTTTTGCACAGGGTGATAAAGTTTGGCGAAGAAACAGAGTTCAGTCTGATGCTATCAATTATTTCACGGCGAAGCTTGCTCCTAAGTTTGTCGGACCTTTTAAAATTCGTAGAAAAATTGGTGCTTGGACATATGAGTTAGAGGATGAGCAAGGAAACCAAAAGGGGATTTGGCATGTTCAAGATCTCAAGTTGGATCAATCGAATCTCGACAATAATTTTCCAGATTAGGTTAATCATCCTAATATTGTATCTTCATCAACAACGTTCGTTCTTGGTTATTTAAATTCATTTTAATTATCGTCAGTAAAGTTCTTGGAACTTCACTTCCTCCGGAAGAAGAGGGGGAGTTGTTACAGTTCAAATTCAGTAGAATCATAAGTTCTCATTTTATTCATTAGTCATGAGTTTGCTTCATTTCATTGCGAAGAATCTACTACTACTATTTCTATGATCCTCAGTGTGCATACCAAAAACGTTCGTTCGTTGAAGAATATATCGTGCATATTGTTTTTCTGATCACCTTGTATAATATTTTTGTGCATTTGGCTATTCTTCATTGTTATGGATCCTTGGTGACCGATAAACATCAAAGATTTGGCAAATGTTTGACAGTTGTCATAATTGAAGTGAAGCTTCGAATTGAACGGGTGTTACGGCTTCTTTCCTGTGGTGACGATACGAGAGTCGGCTTGTGATACCGTAGCAGGTTTCAATAATCATATATAATCACTTATAGTGGATTTCTATTGATTACCTGTATGTACAATCTTCCTTTTATTATTGTGGACTAGTAGAGTCATTGTGATTTGTCATACAAAGGAAGATTTCCCATATTGGGGATTTTTACGAGTTGTCACATGCCGCCATTTTGAACCCTCCAGACGCTGAGGTATGTACCGTATGTTTGAGAATTTTGCAATTTTTAATTCTACATTATCATAGGGTTCACTCCTACCCCCTTCGGGTTAATTCTACCATCCGCACCATCGAGCTAGCAGGTACATCTGACTCTGAATCTCTAGATCAGGCTGAGGACTTTGAGATTACTTCAAGTGTTTGTTGGAGGCCACGTCTATCCAACGCCGAATTAACACAAGTGCGGCATCCTCCTCAATATTCAGGACAGGAAGTTTTTGGACTGGTTAAAGACAGGACCGTAACTTTATATATGTAGATATATATCTGTATCTCAACTTTATAATTCTATTTATCAAACTTCACACTATATCGTTTCCGGGAATTAATTTGCATAGAGCTTTTCAATCTAAATTTTACATACATATTATATTCAACAGTGATATTTATCAAACCTTTATATATAGAGTGTTGGGCTAGTAATTAGAGACACTGATCTCGAGCCTATTAATATATATTTTCCAGGACCACTTCCAGTTGTCAGCCCCTTGTGATCACAACGGGACATCGGAAGATCTACCTGGTCTGGTACTTGCCAGGGACTTTGGGGTAACGTACATGTATTTTCTCCTGAAGTCAATGATTCATTGAATAGAGGTTTGTAAATATACTGTCAGAGTTTTTGTATTCCACCAACCTTACCTATACTCGAGAGAGATGTGTAGTCTTCATACCACACCACACCATTAATTTATTTTCTATTCATTATTTCAACGCTGTTTATTGTTACAATCACTTGGAATTCTCCATCAATATCAGGAGCAGCCTGTGAGTTGGACTGGCTCTTACAATTCACTGGCGCGATATAAATTTTTCTGGTTCGAACCCATAGCATTGATTGAGTTAGTCGGTGACTGCTGTGCTTTCCCTTGCATTCCAGTGATTAGATAGTTTTATTCAGAAACAGCGTAGCAGAATAGGTAAGATTATTATTTTCTGATTTTGCATCTCTGTTAGAATATACATGCCTCAATACTTGATTTATGATTCAGGGACCTTGGCAGAAACTACATAAGTACCATGAGGAACGAATGAGGCAGGTGCTGACTATCTTCTCTCTACAACTTCTGCACCTCCAAGAGATCTGATGGATCTGCTAGGATTCTTATCTACAGATGGCCACTGTGATAGCCAATGGAATAGGTTAGTTCATTATTTTCAGGATATTTAAATATCTGAGGATTCTATCCTCTACAAGAAACTTATAACCTCACCAATCATTCAACTAATTAATGCGTGTTTCATTGTAGATACTGAAGAGACATTCATGACTGCTCAGTTGAGATTTCTGCAAATGAAATGGTTTCAACAAGTTACGTCTTGATACGCAGCTCCAATGAATACCTACTGATATACCTTCCGTATTTTCATCCCAGTTTCGAATATTCAATTGAATATCATTAAATAATATTCATGCCTTTGTGATTGTGATTTGTGAATTGTTTTATACCTCGTATGGTCCACAAAATTAATAAAGTTGATTGTCAATATAACCAAGAGGCGATTTATTATTTTTTCGTTAGTTATACCTTGATATCTTTGAAGTTTATTTAATGTTGTTATTTAAAATAAGTGTTTATTCGACTACCTGCGTTAGTATGAAGGTATAACTCGAAATTATGAATCCCTATATTTCATTCCAAAAGCAAAAAATATTGCGTATTCGTTATAAACCTTCGTTTAACTTAAAATTCCACTGTAACACAAGATCAGCACTCATTCCGAGTTATTATTTGGAATTCGAAACGAAATCGCGGGATTATTCAATACCTTCTTACAATTAATTCTAAGTGTGCTTTTTCGAAATTTCTATTATAGTATTGTCACATTTTTTCTTGTTACCTATATCAAAAAATTCGTACACGTATTATGACTTGAATGAATAAATGGTGAGAAAAAAAACTTTATTCGTTGACAAAATATAAAAACAAACGACATTCAGAAATGTGAATTGGTGAAAACAGATGAACATCATGACTTAAGGGTGATTCCTGACAAGGGCGTATTCGACATGTTCAAAAATATACATTGATTCGGATGAGAACAAAAATGAAACTCATTATACATGTTCAAAATAGTACATCGATTCGGATGAGGTTCTCAGCAACATCAGTAATCGAATATAATCTATATAAAATCAAATAATTTTCAATGAATGATGAGAACAAAATGAAACTTCATTCGTTGAAAAAATATAAAAACAAACGACATTCAGAAATGTGAATTAGTGAAAACAGATAATGATTATGAATGAAGGATGATTCTTGACGAGGGCTAATTAGATATGGCCAAAAAAGTAGATTGATTTGGATTAGGTGAATTTAGGAACATCGGTAATCGAATAACATTCAGTTTTCTGGAATATTTTCAACTCACAACAACTAAGAAGCATATCAATTACATATCACAACAATGATATTCCACTTCGAACTATTTATAAAGAAATATTTTGAAATTTGTATATCCAAATTGTGTTCAATAGTCAGCAGCACAGTGCTGTTCAAATGTCACTGATATTTTTCTTATTCCTGGTTGATTAATCAAAAAATTCTGCAGAATTCTGTAGAATTAAAGAGAGCTGCGTTGAGATATGTACATTGGTTAAGTCTCTGACAAACGTCAAATTGATTTTGGTTATTTCAGTTATTTTAGTTGAATAAGCTTGTTAAGAAATGGCTCATTTGGACCATACGAATGATGATTGTTTGAATTCGATTATCAATCATGGAGAAAGCAAGTGTGAGAAGAACGCAATCAAATCCAATTTGACTCCTGTCAGACCTACCGATGAACATATTCCAAGGCATCCTTCTTGGAATAAGAAAAACACATTCGTTGAATTTCATTTATTCAATTATTGAAAATCTTTCGAACTGTTCACTTCAGGTATGAGGTATAAGAGTATATTTTGAATTATGTGTAGAATCAACTGAGGAGAAAAATAAATATAGGTTTCATTTGGAAAAAATACAGTTACATACTGTATAATAAAAAAAGTTCAAAATAACAAAACGAAATTCCATTATTATGGAATCTCTAGATATCAATTCGATATTCTTCTCCAGTTACCTATGTCTAATCACCACATCAAGAATCATTCGGTACTTATTATCGGTTTATCTTCTTAGTTTCGTTTACTTCCGTTTCTTTTTCATGTACTCATTCTGCACATATACTTTTATTTTTAGCCACGACTTGTTTTCCAATAAATTTGGATTTTGGCATTTTACAGCTTCACATTCATGTTTCTTAGGTGGCTGTTTTTTCTTTATATGTTCGGCGAAAAATCAGTAGACGGCCTCTTTTTGTTTATCTGTCCATGGAATCAATATACGCTTATTCGTTTTAGGAAGTATATTCATTTCACTATGATCTGAAACAATTCTGGAAAGTGGTTCCGTGCTCACATTGATTGCATCTGTAGCTCCGTCATCTTTCTCATCATTGTTCATGAGATCATCTTCCAGATCTAATTCAATTTCATTCAAAGGTTTTCCCTTGAATTCGGCAGCCGATCCTTTCTCCATCAGAAGTAATAATTTTGATATTTTCGCCGTTTGATAGACGTCGTCTGGTAATCTGTATGACCCTTTGTGAACGCCAACTGTGTGACCCATGAATGAAGCTAACTGTTCTATGTCACCTTCAGACATACTAAAAATTTGCGTCAATGTTGCTAGGTGTTTTCTGAGCCTTGTGGATGAAATCGCTTGCGGGTTCTTAGCACCACAAGCTTCTGCGTACTTTTTCAATACCTTATAACCACATATAGGTTCCATTGTTTTTGGGTTGCCAAAAAGATATGTGTTACCCTTCGCTACAAAATCAGGACGATGATTCAACATAATTTTGATGTGCTGCTGAACATCAGGGCTGAACAGTACAGGAACACCACGACCTCTTTTTCCTCTTATGACAATTCTTTTGAACTTCTGCATCAATATTTTTTCTGATGGTGTAACGGCTTCAGTGAATTCTTCATAGTTTTGAGAAATATTTCCCGAATTTTCATATATTTCTAACAATAACCTTTGCAGCTCTCCTGGTCTCCTCCTGTTGAGGAGCATTACTCTACAGAATACGGTTTCTAAGAGGGTGACATAAGAATTTCGATCTTTATTGCCATTCGATAGTGCCTCTGCAGCAGAATTGGCTGTCTTGATAAGAAAATCTTTCAAATGTTTCAAGTCGGTGGCTAATGGAACTAGAGTAACTTTATTCCACTTATTCATGTTCAAATCATTTGCTGCTTGGCTAGAAACATCAAAACGCCAATGCGATTCAATGAGTTGTATCATTGTTTTAAGGTTAGCTTCCGCCTCAGCCGATTGTAATGTTGCATATACCTCTTTTCTTTTCAGAGCAAATACAATGGCGATTTCGCAACACTGTTTGAGAGTCGTTCCAATATTTAGTGCGAAAGTAGGTGATTTGTAACAATCTTTATCTTTGTCATACTTTGCGACGATTTTTGTGGCCGCAACCAGCAAGTCGAAATATTTTGGCTGTAATGCTTCGAATAAATTATTTATTGACGGTTCCTCCTTCTTTGCCTCCATAAGTAATTTTGCCAGTTCTCGCATTTTGCGTGATGTGACATTCACAAAATGCTTTTCTCTATGAATTTTCATATACCTTGCACCATAAACACATATAAGAGGATCTTCTTTAGCTTGCAGAGATACCTCATCAGCCCTCATTCGTGGGAATACAGATTCTATCAACTGTTTGTCAATCTTCGAGTTTTTCAAATGAAAATGCTGTGCTTCTGATTGACATGCCTTCGAACCAGTTCCACAACATTTTTTTTTATGTCGCCACAGTTGTTTTGCTGAGTAGAATCCCAAACAGTTGTTGCAAGGCAAAATGTTTGTGTTTATTGATGGTGTTTTCACTGGCTTTCTGTAGATATTGCTATTCAAATAATTTCCTTTCTTCCTCAATTTGCTGAGTAGTTCTTTTCTCTCTTTCGAACGTGGAGGTTTCGAGAAGATTTTCTGTACATCAATCTCTGTTGAATGATTTCGCTTTATATGACGCGCAAAATTCAAAACAAGACTGTCGCAATGGAAGCAGAAATCTTTTCCTTTATTGCCTTTTTTGATTTTATCCTTCGATTCATAATTCATACAAGATCTATTCCTAATAGGAGGATCTTCATTCAGCATATCAGATTCAATTTCATCTCTAGGAATTTCTTCCACATCAGAATTTATTTCTTCCTGAAATAAAATGAACATATTTTCAGAGTACTCTCTAGATGATATCAAAATCTCAGTTCATGAATATTTGATTCATACAGTTAGATATTCTGATCAATATGGGTAGTTATCAGTATTGAAGGATACTAGGAATAATTCAAGAAGGAGATGAAAGAGTACACACTCTTCAGGTTAAGAGAGTTGAAAGAATAATGATTATGCAACTCTGTTAAAAAATCTGCCTGAGAGATGAACTCTGTAGGTAATGATGGAATATGATCAGTTAGGAAAACTATCACAACGAATAACAACATAATTATATACCTCAGAACTAGTCTCACTCAATTCATAATTAGGGTCCTTGACTGAATCGTCGTGATCTTCGATGTCATTTTCTTCCTCTGATTCTGGTACTTCTGTCTCCTGAAAATATGAAAATATTCGATGGGTCCAACACCCTCATTCAGAAAACTGAAAGAATACATCTTGAAGCACATGTGTACTTGCGAGAGATATACATTTTAAGGATAATCAGATAACAAATGACAGAATCATGTGAAAGTCTCATTTGCCTGGAAAATCATATTCCTCGAACCCAAATAGCAATTCTGCTCAACATTCTGAGATATTGTATTGAATTTTTCAATTTGAACCTGAAGTTCGTAATTGTCAACGTTGAAATTTACAGAATATACATCCTCCGGCGAGACCGGAGTGAACCGAGATAAAATTCTGGTGTAGAACTAACTGGAATTCCTTGAATTTACTTGGAATTCCTTCAAGTTCCTTGGAGTTCCTTGAAATTCCTTGGATGAAGTGCGATATAATTCTCGTCTAGAAACAACTGAAATTTCCTGTAATTCCTTGGAAATTCTTAGATTTCCTTGAAACTCCTAGGATTTCCTTGTAAAATTGAAGTTTAGTGTACAAAACTTTGACGATGAAATTCTCAAACTGGAATCCCTTAGAATTTACTGGAATTCTTTGGAGTTCCTTGGAATTCTTCAGAAGGCTGAAATTCCGTGAAATTCCTCGGAATTCTTCTAATTCCTGGGATTTATTGGGTAACCGTGATACTGGTGTACAAATAACTGAAACTCTCAGGAAGTTTCAGTTTATTATAATTCCTATGCATGTTTCGTATTTCCTTGTATTACAGAATTTCTATGAACTATTTATACCTGGGGAAGCAAAACTATTTTTACCTGGGGAATCTCCTGAAATATGTCGCTTTCAATTTTCAATTTTTCACATGAGTAGGGAAAAATTAGATAAACAGAGTGATCCACGTTTGAGTTATGACGTACGCGCAAATTTTTTCAGATAGAACACCCTATGAATTATTCAATTCTTGGAAAGTACATCACACAGGGGATTTGTATACAGTGGGTCCGTTGAATTCTGTGTTCTCGTACTCTCGTGAGGTTGCGATTGAAAATTACCGATAACGTAGTTTCAAAATTTTGAATAATTTATAGGTTGTTTCGTTTGAAATTTTTTTTGCGGGCGTCATACCTCAAACGTAAATTCTAATTTCTATACTTATGTGGCATATTGAGAATTTAAATCGATTTGTTTTCCGAAACGAATTCATCCACTGATTTACGGGATCACTCAATTTATTGGACAAACCCTATGTGTGATAAAATTTTGAATTCAGCTTTCCATGGAATGGAATTTCACTAACATTAAACCATAATGAATTAGTTTTTTTTTAATATTTGACAAAAAAAGGATCGATCCGATAATTTCAATATCAAAATGGCAATTATGTGTTACGATCGCTGACAAATTATCTATGGAAGTTCAATAGGGCGTCCGTATTCTGACGCTCAATTGGACTCGGACGCCCGATTGATGGTGAATAATAGATGTACGGACTTCGCATTGATAGCAATATCTGAATATATACGCGGTCTGCATACCTCAAAGGTGGATCAAAACCGACTTGTTTCAGGAGATTTCTCAGAAATTGATTGTATGGATAATAAATAGTAGTTTGACAAACTAAAGGAACACGCTTCGATAGGTAGCCGAACTGAAAAGAAGTAGAAAATGAATAATAGTTTGAAAAACCTCAAAAACGCGATTGTATAGATAGTCAAACTATGAGGAGGTTGGAACAATAATAATGACAGTGTGTTGATGAATACACAATATAGATAATATGAGCATTATTTCATTCTCTACTTCTATTAGTTTGGCTATCTATAAAATCGTGTTTCTTCTTTAGTTTCTCAAACTACTATCTACTATCTATTTTCTATTTTGATACTAATCACAGAACTCGTCCACCATTGTGGATCCACTTTTAATTCAGAATTTTCGACGAAAGAATCATGATCTGCGACCACGAAAACCTCCTGATACTAACATGAATGAAATCCGATCATAATCACAAAACTTGTCCGCTATTTGTATTTTTCCAATTTCAATAAGAATATCTTAATCTTTGACCCCGAAAACCACCAGATACAAATTTAGAATGAAATCAGATTATAATTTCAAAACTCGTCCGTCATTTTGGATCCGCCATCTTGAATTTCCAAATTTCGACGAAATGATCATAAAATCCGACAACGAAAATCCCCAGATACTTATTTAGAATAGAATCGAATCATGATCACAAAACTCGTGTGCCATTTTGGATCTGCCATATTGAATCTCTCAATTTTGCCAAGAGAATCGTAATCTCCGACCCCGAAAACTCTCAAATACCAATTTTGAATAGAATCGGATCATAATTACAAAACTCGTCCGCAATATTGGAACCGCTATTTTGTTTTTTTGTCTAAAAAAACTGCATGCTGCATTGTCACAAGAATCATGTACACCTGCCAATTTTCAAATCATTTGGACGTTTTGAAGTGGGTCAAAAACACGTTCGAGAATTCCGCGTTGTGTTAGCATACAAACCAACAAACTAACAAACATAATCAAGCTATCATAAGCGTGTTGAAAACAAAGTTATCAAATACTTCACGGGATCACTCAATTTTATGGACACACTGTATACAATCCCTATGTGTAATTCGATTTTGAATACAGCTCTCCATAGAAATTCCAGATTTGAAATCAATCGGACGACAAGAGTTCCACTAACAAAATGCCATCATGAATTAGGTATTTCCAATATTCCACAAAAAAAGAATCGACTCAATAATAACAATATCAAAATGACTATTATGTGTAACGATCGCTGTAAAATTTTTTATGGAAATTCAATCGGGAATCGGACGTCAGATTGATGGTGATTAGTGGATGTACCGATGTTGCTTTGATTGCGTGATGTGAATATATACACGGGCGTGAGAGCTCAAACGTAGATCACCCTTTATATATCCAATTTTCAATGGAAATGTGACATATTGAAAATTTGAATGGATATGATATCAAACTGACTATTATGTATAACGATCCCTGTCAAATTTTCTATGAAAGTTCAATCGGGAATCGGACGTCAGATTGATGGTGAATTGTAAATGAAAGGACGTTGCTTTGATTGCGTGATGTGAATATATACGCGAGCGTGATAGCTCAAACGTAGATCACCCTTTATATTCAGTTCTCAATGAAAATGTGACATATTGAAGATGGAAATGGATTTAATATCAGAAAGAATATTATGTATCACGATCGCTGTGAAATTTTCTATAACAGTTCAATCGAGAATCGGACGTCAGATTGATGGTAAATGGTAAATGTGAGGACGTTGCTTTGATGGCGTGATGGGAATATATACGCGGGCGTGATAGCTCAAACGTAGATCACCCTTTATATTCAAGTCTCAATGAAAATGTGACATATTGAAGATGAAGATGGATTTAATATCAGAAAGACTATTATGTATCACGATCGCTGTCAAATCTTCTATAAAAGTTCTATCGGGAATCGAAGGTCAGATTGATGGTAAATGGTAAATGTAAGGACGTTGCTTTGATTGCGTGATGTAAATATATGTATACGCGGGCGTCATAGCCCAAACGTAGATCACCCTGTGTATTCAATCTACCATCAAAGTGTGACATATTAAAATTGGCAATGGACCTGGATTTCTCAGAAATCAATGGTGTGGTTGAAAACTAATTTATCCGATACTTTACGAGATCACTCAATTCAATGGACACACTGTATACAAACTCTAGGTGTAGTTTAATTTTGAATTCATCTCTCCATGGACATTCCAGATTTGGAATCAATCGGACGATTAAAATTACACACAAAATGCCATAATAAAATCAGGTATTTCCAATATTTGAAAAGGAAAGAATCGATTCGATAATCACAATATCAAAATGACTCTTATCTGATAAGATCGCTGACAAAGTTTTGATGGAAGTTCAATCGAGAATCGGACGTCAGATTGATGGTAAATAGTAAATGTATGGACGTTGCTTTCATTGCGTGATGTAAATATATGTATACGCGGGCGTCATAGCCCAAACGTAGATCGCCCTGTGTATTCAATTTACCATAAAAGAGTGACATATTGGGATTAAAAATGTACCTGGATTTCTCAGGAATCGATGGTGTGGCTGAAAACTAATTTATCCGATACTTTACGAGATCACTCAATTTAATACTGTATACAAACCCTAGGTGTAGTTTAATTTTGAATTCATCTCCCCATAGACATTCCAGATTTGAAATCAATCGGACGATTAGAATTACACACAAAATGCCATAATAAAATCAGGTATTTCCAATATTTGAAAGAAAAAGGATCGATTCGATAATCACAATATCAAAATGACTCTTATCTGATAAGATCGCTGACAAAGTTTTAATGGAAATTCAATCGGGAATCGGACGTCAGATTGATGGTAAATAGTATATGTACGGACGTTGCTTTGATTGCGTGATGTAAGTATATGTATACGCGGGCGTCATAGCCCAAACGTAGATCACCCTGTGTATTCAATTTTCCATAAAAGTGTGACATATTGAAATTGAAAATGGACCTGGATTTCTCAGAAATCGATGGTGTGGATAAAAACTAATATATCCGATACTTTACGAGATCACTCAATTTAATGGACACACTGTATACAAACCCTAGGTGTAGTTTAATTTTGAATTCATCTCCCCATGGACATTCCAGATTTGAAATCAATCGGACGATTAGAATTACACACAAAATGTCATGATAAAATCAGGTATTTCCAATATTTGAAAGAAAAAGAATCGATTCGATAATAACAATATCAAAATGACTCTTATCTGATAAGATCGCTGACAAAGTTTTAATGGAAATTCAATCGGGAATCGGACGTCAGATTGATGGTAAATAGTAAATGTACGGACGTTGCTTTGATTGCGTGATGTAAATATATGTATACGCGGGCGTCATAGCCCAAACGTAGATCACCCTGTGTATTCAATTTTCCATTGAAGTGTGACATATTGAAATTGAAAATGGACCTGGATTTCTCAGAAATCGATGGTGTGGATAAAAACTAATTTATCCGATACTTTACGAGATCACTCAATTTAATGGACACACTGTATACAAACCCTAGGTGTAGTTTAATTCCAAATTCATCTCTCCATAGACATTCCAGATTTAAAATCAATCGGACGATTAGAATTACACTTACAAAATTCCATAATAAAATCAGGAATTTCCAATATTTGAAAGAGAAAGAATCGATTCGATGATCACAATATCAAAATGACTCTTATCTGTTAAGATCGCTGACAAAGTTTTAATGGAAGTTCAATCGGGAATCGGACGTCAGATTGATGGTGAATAATAAATGAAACGACGTTGCTATGATTTCATGATGTGAATATATACGCGGGCGTGATAGCTCGAACTTTATATTTAGTTCTCAATGAAAATGTGACATATTGAAGATAAAAATGGATATATGTAATATCGAAATGACTATTATGTATTACGATCGCTGTCAAATTCTCTATAGAAGTTCAATCGGGATTCGGACGTCAGATTGATGGTAAATGGTAAATTTAAGGACGTTGCTTTGATTGCGTGATGTAAATAAATGTATACGCTGGCGTCATAGGTCGAAAGTAGATCACCATTTGTATTCAATTCTATATAAAAGTGTGATATACTGACGACATAAAAACGAATGTATCCACTTTTTCACGGGATCACTCAATTTAATGAACACACTATATACAAACCCTAGGTGTAGTTCAATTTTGAATTCATCTCTCCATGGACATTCCAGATTTAGAATCATTCAAACGATTAGAATTACACTTTCAAAATGCCATCATACATTAGGTATTCCCAATATTTGACAGAAAAAGAATCGATTCGATAATTACAATAGCAAAATGACTATTATCTGTAAAGATGAAAACTCAAGAAACGCGCTTTTATAGAGAGTCAAACTATGGAGAAGAAAAAAATAATGATGAAAGTGTGCTGAAAAATACACAACAAAAAAAATATCAGCACCTTCGTTATCAGTATGTATGTTATGTATTTATCATCACACTCTCATCATTATATTTCCTACTTCTCTTTAGTTTGGCTATCTATGAAAAAGTGTTTCTTCAGTTTTTTGAACTACCATTAATTTTCTATCCTAATTATGATCATAATTTGAATCATAATTACAAAACTCGTGCGCCATTGTGGATCCGCCATCTTGAATTTCAAAACTTTGACGAAAGAATCAAGATCTGCGTCCTCGGAATCTTCCTGATACTGATTTTGAATGAAATCGGATCATAATTACAAAACCCGTTCGCCATTTTGGATCCGCCATCTTGAATTTTCAAATTTGGCCAAAAATGTCATGATCTCCGACTCCGAAAACTCCCAGATACCAATTCTGTACAGAGAAGGATCATAACTACAAAACTTGTCCGCCATTTCGAGTTTCTCAATTTTGACAAAATAATCTTTATCTCCGACCGCGAAAGCCCCCAGATACCAAAATTTTGAATGAAATCGGATCATAATTACAGAATTCGTGTGACATTTTGGATCTGCCATCTTGAATTCACCAATTTTGACGAAAATATCATATCCTACTTTGCAAACCCCCCAGATACTAATTCTGAATGAAATCGGATCATAATTACAAAACTTGTCCGCCATTTTGGATCCGTCATCTTGAATTTCCAAATTTTGACGAAAGAATCATAACATCTGACCCCGAAAACTCCTGGATACTAATTTCAAATGAAATCGGATTATAATTACAAAACTAGTTCGCCATATTGGGTCCGCCATCTTGAATTCCTCAATTTCGACATAGAATCATGATCTCCGACACCGAAAACTCTTAAATACCAATTTTGATTAGAATCGGATCATAATTACAAAACTCGTCCGCCATTTAGGAGCCGCCATTTTGTTTTCTGTCCAACAAAAATTGTATGGTGCATTTTCACCAAAATTATGTGAACCTGCCAAATTTCAAATCATTTCTACGATTTGAAGTGGGTTAAAATCACTTTCGAAGATTTCGCGTTGTGTAAACATACAAACCAACAAAATAACAAACATACCAAGCATATAAGCGGCTTGAAAACCAATTTATCAACTACTTTACGGGATCACTCAATTAAATGGACACACTGTATACAAACCCCATGTGTGATTCAAATTTGAATTCAGCTTTCCATGGAAATTACAGATTTGAAATCAATCGGACAAGAAAGACACTCACAAGATATCATAAATAAGGTTATTTCCAATATTTGACAGAAAAAAAATCTATTCGATAATCTCAATATAAAAATCCAACATAAGACTCAATTTGTTCAAGTTCAAGCACGAAGAACTGCTAATTTCAAAGCTAATAGTGCCTCGCAACTTTACAGTTTCAAAACGTGAAATGTTTAATTCTTCTACTCACCTTATTGCCTAATTCCATTATATTCGATACTTCTACTTCTGAATCTTTCAGAACCGAAGAATTGTCTGATGAACTTATTGTTGCATTTTGTAGCTCGACGAGTACATTATTTTCATTCTCCTGCAGGTTTGGAGAAACGGCCCTTTTACAAAACCATCTATCGATACTTGCTCTCGGTAAATTCACTGTACAATTATACTGTAAAATAAGAATCAAATCATCATTCAATATTATCTTCAATGTAACTCATATGTTACTTACATACTCGTCTGAAAAATATCTACGATAAGGTTCAGCCATTACTACACCTTTAATGGACGCCTGACGCCTCAAGACTTCAAAAACTAAACTTCTTGAAAAATAATACGCACTACTCACTCGAGAAACGAGAAACAAGGACCAAATCTCATCACCTATTGTGAAACATTGTTGTCAAACTTTCGGACGCCAAAAGAAACGCATGATGAAAGAAGCATATACGCCGCGAATATACACTGAACGCTACTAGCGCGGCAGGCGGCAAACCGCATTAACTAAAAATATACGAAAAATATGCGAATTTTACAAAATTACGTCTTTTCAGCGTCCACACCGATTTTCGGCAAACAGTTGACTATATTGTGTTAGGGTCGCTGACAAATTTTCAATGGGTGTTCAATCGGACGTCCGTATTCGGACGCTCTATTGGACTTGGACGTCTGATTGATGGTAAATAGTAAATGTATGGACGTTGCTTTGATAGCAGGATGTAAATATATATATATATATATATATATATAGTTTCAATAAATGTATTAAAAGATATCAGGTATTTAATTTCTTAAAACATTCCTTTAGCCGAAAAACTTGGCATACGTCGCAAAAAAATTCTAAAAAATAGTTAAAAAAAATCGGAAAAATTCCACCCGATTTTTTTCTTAATGGCAATCATTTTTCTTCATATAAAAATTTTTGTCACTCCTTTCAATATGGTAGTTTACTACGAATCATTTTTAACGGGAGGGAGGGGGTAAAAATTTCTCACAAAAATTCAACTAATACATTGTCACCATAAAAATCCCGGATTTTTACGTTTTTTCTTTTTTTTTAAGGGTGAAAAACATGATAAATCTTCGCCTCGTTAAAAATTTAAAATGGTTAAAAAAAATCGGAAAAATTCCACCCGATTTCTCTCTTCATGACAATCATTTTTCTTCATGTAAAATTTTTTGTCACTCCTTTCAATATGGTAGTTCACTACGAAACATTTTTAGCGGAAGGGAGGGGGTAAAAATTTCATGATAAAAAATTTCTCGCAAAAATTCAACTAATACATTGCCACCATAAAAATCCCGGATTCTTACGTTTTTTTTTTTTTTTTTTTTTTTTTCTTTTTTTTTTTTAAGGACGAAAAAAATTGGATGTGTCGGGGTAAAATTTTAGATTTTTCAATAATTCAGTTGATAATGATTCGATTCCATTCAAAATTGGTATCTGGGGGTTTTCGGAGTCGGAGATTATGATTCTTCTGTCAAAATTTGAAAATTCAAGATGGCGGCCAATATGGCGGACGAATATGAATATTATCCGAATTCATTCAAATTTGGTATCTGGTGGTCTTTGGGGTCAAAAAGTGAGAATGATGCTTCGGAAATCTTTTTTTTCAACAATTTTTCAGATGAGCTAGGAATTGTGAAGAAATAACAATGGCATACTTTGAATTCTCGTACACGAAAAACATCTTTCAGACTCCTACAGCAAAAACAATTATATATCAAGGAAGACCGTTTCTTTATATGACAGACGTATAATTGCATGTCGCTCAAATCAAAGCCTGCTGGCTATTATTCCATCCCCTAGAGTCTAGAGGCTATCATGAAAATGTCCGTCAGCATTCTTGGTGTATAAACAGAGTGAGGTGTGATCAAAGAAATAAGTTTGCAATCAACATTGGAATTATCATTCATTATTACGAAATTTATTATTGAAATTGAAGTTTATTTCTAGTACTGAAATGATAATTATTGTCTTGTTAGTAGCTTGACAACACATTCAGTTCTTAATCGAAATTGGAAGTAAAAACCCCAGGACCTTGAGAGGAGGCACAACAACCTAATGATTTGAAGAAAACCAAAGATCGCACTAGTACTTTTTTTGTTGTTGTTGCAATTGCATCACCTCGTTGGTCCCAGCACTGGGACCAAACGCAACATAAGTCGAAACTTGTGCGGAGTTAGGTAAGCACAGAACCACAAACATACATAGCCTAATTGGGATTCGAACCTATCTCGACCACCGAGCCGCCTATGGATATACTATGGATATCCAATATGGATATTGTGGATTTCCATGATATATCCGAAAAAATATCTGGTATATCCTATGGAGATCCATAGGATATGACAGTGTGACCGGTTTGGATGTCTTATAGATATCCATCATGGATATCCATGAAATATCAATCATGGATATGCACTTTTTTTTTTTTTTTTTTTATCGCTTGGAAATTGAATGTTGGGGCATTGAAAACATAAGTAGGTACCTATACAGGTTGTCCGCTAAAAGGAGGTCAATCCATTAACCATATATTCCTTGAACAAAGACAGTACGAGTTTCTAAATACCATTTTTCATTTTAGCACTTCATATTCAATATACAGGGTGTCAAAGTTGGAAATCAAAAACTGTTTTTTTTTAATTACTCACTCATTCAATGAGATATCGATCTCAAAATTGGTATATTATTTCAGCACAAAGAGTTACATCGTGTGAGGAGAACAAAGTAGAAAATAACTGTCAAATATTCGAAATACTGGGGGTCAAGTACACACTTACCCCCAAATTTTATTTGTACGTGCGCTAATGACTTCCATTCTATTTTCCTTCAGGTGTTCAATTCTTTTTGAGTATTTTTTGTGTCCTGTAAAATTTCGATAAGATTATTTGTTTTTAAGATAATTCGAAAAGTATTGGTTATTGTTTGATACCTATGCGGCTTACGGTAATCTCATAATGTTCACATTCTCCTATTTATTTCGTCGAAATTGGAAGTATTTTTTGGAAATTGGTGTATTTTTTTACGTACGAGAAGGTAAATATGGAAATACCGGGTGCTCAGAGCGAATGTATTAAAGTTATTTTTACGAGAAAAAAATAAAAAAAAGTGAGGACTGGTGTGGAATAATTTTTTTTTGCCAATCGAACGGCGTGAAATTTTTTTTACGTGGTCTAATAAAAAAAAACGTTCTTTGGAATTTCGGGTAAATGATGATTTTAGGAGGATGGGGGGGGGGGGAATGTCGATTGACAAGCCCACCCTTTTGAAGGATAATAATTTTTTTTTAAATTTCTTAAAATCGGTTTGAGCGGTTCTGGGTGAAGCGGAATTTTTTTTAAATATTTTCGAGCCTCTTTCCCACCCTATGGTATGTCGGGCGCGAACGGACAGGAAGTAAAATCGGAAAAAACTGAAAAATATTGTCGTGTATGTATTTATGACGACCTTTCCAAAATATTATACCCCCCTTGAGGGTACTAATTCCATAGACTTAATTTACTTACTCGCTTGGCTTTGAGAGGGTTGTTGTTGAATTGTGGAACACAAAGAAATGAAGAGAGTATTTAAAAACATAAAAGAAACATGTTTATTCAATAAAACAATTAAAAGTGTACTCACAATTCGGATACTAGGGGAACCATCTTCAATGGGCTCAGAGAACCTTTCCTGCTCTACGCCCGAAGTAGTCTGACTTCCTATTTTTCATATTCAAACTACTCCAACCAATATTTCCCCCTCTGATGGTATATTAATTCATATATCTCAGCAGTTTTAGAATCAATGTATTTTACGTTCAATCTGAGTTCATACAGGTTATGGAAATATTAGTTGTAATAGGAAACTTTAGTTCCTGTCTAGGTATGCCTGTCATGCAATACATTGGATTTGAAATGAATGTTATTTTATAAAAATAATTATTTTCGATATACTACATGACATTTCTCTCCGGCCCATCGAAGCTGGACCCCAGCAAAAGAATAAGGAAAAACACTGAAATCTTAATAAAAAAAAACATATGTCAACATGTGTCTCATTAAACCAGTGATTGTCCTGAAGAACAACGTGTTGAAACTGAGTTTTAAAGGTTTACATGATATGGATATAAATCTTAGTAATAACATCAATCATTTGATAGAAGTGTATCTTTGCCAAACAAAATATCTAGCAAAATAATGAGTAAAACACTGAAATCATAATAACAAAATAATATATGGTAATGTCAATATTGAAAAAAAAATAAGAACAAAATCGGAATAAGAAAAAAACAAAAATGTGTAAAAAATCAAGTCTGACCACAAATTCAATAGTTCACTCGCACCCACTGAATCATAATGCACTCTATGATTGAGTCCGGACCTGCTCATTCCACGGTTGTTGTCGGTTATCCTTGTCTCTCCCATCTATCCTATCGACCATCCATCCTAGCGTCTAGAAATCAGCAACTATAAGCAGATTATTCAATGCTCTGCTTTTTTGCAAGACCAGGAGTTTCTGCTTACTCATATATGATTCTATGCCGTAAACCCATATCAGAATGATTCATGTTTTCCAGCCATTCGTTGTCGTTGAGTTAGGTCAAGAACTTGACCTAGTTCCTAACTCGCCTATGGAAGCTGTGCTTCTGCTGCTCTGTCATCTTCATTCGAGAATATTGGCGGATCCTTGGGTTAGTTTTGTTGAACCTATCTATCTCGTAGTATCTGTCGTACAATAGGTAGGTATAGTACTCGGCATTAATTTTCCGAATATATCTCCATGCAGTAATCAGTCATTAACGAATTTGTCAAGAGCTGATCGATCCACTCTTATTCGTACTAATGACTTGATTAATATTTACTAAATCCACCCTTCTTCGTACTGACGAATTTATCAAGAGTCACTAAATTCGCTCTGATTGGTAATAGGTGTATTTGTAATTAGTTGATGCGACTTCGATGACTAGGAACGTTTGGTTTCTCAGGACAATTCTCTGTCTCATGGAGTGTGATCTAGGAATCCGACTCGCCATGGTATGATGAGGTTCTATACTGGATGCCAATGGTGTGGTGTGGTTTGTGTGATGTGGTCCATATACATGAAAAAAAAACATAATACGCAGTAAATGCTAATTGGAATAGGTTATCAACTTAGATACAAAACAAATTGTCATAATAAATCCTTAC